TCCATTCCATTTTTTATTTCATTTCATGATAAATGGACCAGTAGAAAGTTTAAAATGAAAATCATGAATTACATTGAAAAATAAGGAACATTTTTACTTTTACCTTTTGAAAGTGACAATAAAAACGACCACGAGAACTTTGTTTCCATTGAAAAGGGTTACTTTCATGTGATATAGATCTAAAAGTACAGTTTGCTGCCACGTGGCTGCAAGAAGATTGGTTTGGATTTGAGCCATAGGTCACTTGAAACAGAGATGGTGGTTGGGTGATGAAGCCTCTCAGCACAGTGGGGCCAGGAATCATTTGCTTGCTCTACTGTAGAAAGCCAATTATTGAAACTGCCACCGTCAATCACCTGACTTCAATAAGTTGCGAGTCCACTTGGCGCCAGTGTAAAAATCAAGAGCAGGGCTGAAAAACATGCCTTTGTTCATGATAAGCAAACGGCAGACTTTAAATGTCACCTTTCTCTTTTAAGGCCAGGATCTGATAATCTAATAGTTCAGTAATTCAGTCAACTATATCAATGAAATAAATATGACAGCAGTAAAAGGAAGAATAAAAGGAAGTCCCACTTGATTATAGTCCAAGATAACCTCTCCCATAATTCAAATTTCGACATGCAACATTTTATTATGACACAAGTGATGCGTCATGTGTCACATGGTCTGTTTAACATGTGAAAGGTCATTAGGATCATCGAGGCTAAACAAAAGACTTTATTATTACCACCTTTTCTGTGAAATCTTGTGCTTCATAATAATGTATAAGAATGATATGAAAGCAATGTGAGTATTTTGGGTACTCTAGAAGAGTCTATGGAGTTGTGTGTGGTTTAGTAAGAACGGCTGACCAGTTCTAATAGTTACTTTAGTATGAAAATACAGTCATATGCAAAAGTTTGAACACCCCTGTTGAAATGACGTCTTGTTGATTTTATGAGGGAAAATAAGTTAACACATCCTCTACAGAAAACACTTTTACTCATTTTAGTGAACAATGGCTGTTTATTTGCTAAGTTTAACAAATTGGAAAAAAATAAAACCAAAAATGTGCCATAACTTTTGCACAAGCCAAATTTTATGTTGATTTGTTTTTTCCCAGTATGTAAAATTCAGCAAATAACAGTAACTTTTAAAATGTGCCCAAGTGTGTCACTTATTTACACTTAGAAAATCAACAGAACACAGAATTTGACCAGAGGTGCCTAAACTTTTGCATACGACTATATCATAATGTGCTAGCTTGTGGTGAGAAAATATGCACATATGACCGTCATTGCTGCCACTCATGTTCACCCCGCTGTCTCCGTTCTCTCTCACTGGACAAACTTCATGTTAATTGACCAGGGAGTTGACCAATCAGATTATCTAAAAGATGCACTAAACTGCTTGTGTTATGCTTAGAGTTAAGCAACATCCAATGAAAGAGTGGCCAGTTGGCAAGAGAAACACAAAGAGGCAGCATTAAGCTAAAGCACTTCTAAAGCCATAAATTAAAACCTACTAAAAGTGGCACAGAAGTGTTGCTAAACTTCAACACTCATTAAGAAGATGAAGATCTATGAATATGCATGATTATGCAAACTGTAAATGCCCCCTTGCTGCCCTGTCTCTAAACTCCAGACGGAACAGACTGAGACACGACAGAGCAGAAACAAAAAGAAGCCTTAGTAACTTTAATAATCAGACAGATTCTGTCTTTGTCACTCGATTTCACTCACTCAGATTTGTGTGTTTATCCTCTAAACTTGCCTCAGTGCAGCATCAGTGAGCTGGAGTCCCTGGTAGTTTAGCCTTCTCGCTAAGCTATCGTTAGCCACTGGTATGGTCAAGAATATGAATATGATTTACCTGCTCCGATTTGAGTCTTTACGCTCCTACCTTACATCAGGGAGGCTTCAGTGAGCTGGAATGAACCTGCATAGTTGTGTGTACAGCTGTTTCGGCCTTCTCGCTAAGCTAATGCTAGCTTCTAGTGCTAACATGTAGAGGCATTTGAGCCTGATGGTGTTGACATGGGATGTGTAGGGTGAGACAACGAAGGGTCGAGGCAACCTCAGCTCTCTTTGGCACCTGGAACATCCTTCGATTAGCATACTTTAGTATACTGAACCATTACAGATCCAAGCTTATCTGTGATGTACAAAAACTTAGCTGTGACGTAGAGCTTTACGAACCACTTCTGTGAGTTAAATTCTCAACCTGGAGGCATTAAGGCAACGGGCAGACGTTTGTGGGGCCTGTATGAGGGCAGCGTTAGCCAAGCCGCTTCCCTGTGAGAGAGCGATGACTCCAAAAGGCCTGAAAGTGACTGACTCCGGCTCCACGCCTAATAAAGCCAGAACAAAGAGATCCAGCAGCCAGTGCAAACAGCACACACACTGCAGGGCAGTCAGCGGAGCAGGAACACACTCACACACCAACACAAACACACACGCTTTTGTTCCGTGGACAGCTGAATTCCGCTCAAGCGACCGAATAGCGACACCAACGCCCACGGACTCTTTAACACTCATCGCACACGTTTTCCCTTTTCAAAAACACTGATACAAAACCTGCACCGCAAACACACACACTTTCACACTGTCAGTCAAACCAGCTCACAAAAGCACTTATGGCAATTTCGTTTCCCCCCAAAACCATTGTAGAGGGAAAAGCCATATGTCATGTTAAGTCAGACAAAACCAACCCCATTAGTCTAGACAGAACAGATACAAATGGCCCGTGGCTTTGTGTTCGGCACGGACGGTCCTTAGGGAGTCTTCTTAATGCGCTACGAACTCTGGGTAGAAGAAGGCTCTTTTTCACTGATCTCAGAACTGCTTTCACCATGAAGACAAGGCCAAAAAAACAAAACTTACAACCAACACCACTGTGAAACAGTGAGAAGGTGTGAAACATGGATACATGACAATTACTAACAAACTGCATTTTTAAACCCTTTCAGAGCTCTCAAGGCCATTCTGTGTACCTTTGTGCATGATTGTGCCAAGAGATGTAGTAACACCTCTGTTCCCAGATTCAACAAAACCTCAAATAAAGAGAGAAGGCTCTCAAAAAACATATATTGTCATATTAAAAGATATTCAAAAAGCAACCTCAATAAACTCCTACACCACAGAATGAGACATCAGTCTACGAACCACCTCAATAAACAGTCCGATATACAAGAATGGGATATTAGTCCATGAACAACCTCAATAAACTGTCCTAAACCACAAAATATGAGATACTGGTCCATGAACAACCTCAATAAACAGTCCTATACACTAGAATTGAATATTTTAGTACATAAACAACCTAAAGAACTGTCCGAAACCAGAGAATATGAGATATTAGTCTATGAACAATCTCAATAAACAGTCTGATGTACTAGAATCAGAGATATTACTCCATGAATTCACTCAATAAACTGTCCTAAACCATAGAATATGAGATATTAGCTTATGAGCAACTTTAATAAACAGTCCGATATATGAGAATAGGAGATATCAGTCTAAGAACAACCTCAATAAACTGTTCTAAACCATAGAATATGAGATATTAGTCTAAGAACAACCTCAATAAACTGTCCTAAACGATAGAATATAAGATATTAGTCTATGAACAATCTCAACAAGCAGTCTGATATATGAGAATACGAGACATTAGTCCATGAACAACTTCAATAAACTCTTTTAAACCGTAGAATGACATATTAAACTATGAATAATTTCAATAAACAGTCCAATATTTGGGAACGGGAGATATTAGTCCATGGACAACTTCAATAAACTGTCCTAAAGCATAAAATATGAGATATTGGTCTATGATTGATCTTAATAAACAGTCTGATACACAAGAATAGGAGATATTAGTCCATGAACAACCTCAATAAATGCTCCTCAACTGTACAATTGGAGATACTGGTCAGTCTAAGTAAACAGTCTAAGTAAACAGTCTGATGAACTAGAATAGGAGATATTAGCCTATGAACAATCTCAATAAACAGCCCAATATACAAGAATAGGAGATATTAGTCCATGAACAACCTTAATAAATTCCACTAAACCATAGAATATGAGATATGAGTCCATGACCAACACCAATAAATTGTCCTAAACCACAGAATGTGAGATATTAGACTATGAACAGTCTAAATAAACAGTCTGATACATGAGAATAGGAGATATTAGTCCTTGAACGCCCTCAATAAACAGTCATAAAGAGAGATCAATAAACCTCAATAAATGCTCCTATTCAGTAAAATATATTTATTTTTTCATGATCTGGGCTCTGTACATTTGTTAAAGCACGTAAAGTGGTAAAATGTACAGAGCAGTGAGACTCCATGACCTAGATTGACAATCACTGGCCTTTACCATGAATTACCATGAAAAGAGGTCTATCAGTAGTAAGTAGCAACAAATGGAATTATTAGTAGCAAAAAAATAGAAACGTTACATACAATTCCTTTTAATGCATCTGCCCCACACTGAAATGAGTTTTACTGTTATTTCCATGAATGCCAGGACATTCAGCTGGAGGGGTTCTCAGGGAAAGGTAAATATACTTATAGCATGTACTTTTATTAAAACCCTTCTCCCGCATGATTGTATATGAGATTCCTTGCCTGTTCATTTTCAAAATGAAAGTTATGTTTACCAACCCACAGCAGTTACAAAAGGTCAAGGCGATTTTTCTCTCTAAGGCAGGATCCAAATACTTTATTACATTCTCTAAATCCTCTGCAAATTGAATTATTTTAAGTAAAACCTATTTGGTCTCCAGAATGCATCGTGTGAAAAGACCACTATCTACCAAAGTAATGCTAGGAAAAGAAATACTAAATAAATATTAAATAATGATAAAATGATGATTGTAAGCTCACTACTCAAAACAAAGTTGCAGCAGATTATGCATTTAAGAATCAGAAAGGCAGCAGTCAGTTTCTTCAAAATTTATTCTATTATTTATAAATACTGATAACACTGTCTATTACAGTTTTTGCAGATTTTATTTTTGGTTAGAACTGCAGACATTCAGTGCATGATAAAAGTACAATTTCTTCTTATTCAATGCTTCACCGGTACCACAGTACATCAACTGTCTTCTTTTTGCAGTGCTTTTGAAGAAAAATGTCATTGCTGGATGTTAAGACATCATTGTCTAAGGACAGGAAGTGTCTAAGTCTACACTGCTGAATGTTAAACCGTCTACTGACTTGGGGTACCAACCCTTCTTCTGGAGAATTCTGCATTTAGAAAGCTATGACGATACATTCAGCATCTACTTGCTGGACTATCTGGACGGTATCTGGGCTCAGAGCCACCGGAGGAGGCTGCCCCACCTCCAGAAACCCTTCAGTGTGGTCAATACAGACCCAATGAAGCATTACAGAGGGGAATCCACTCCCCTCACAGCTAAATAATTTGCTTCCTTTTTCCTGTCCTACTTAGCATGTCATTGGCAACCACTTGTCATTGACAAAGTCTGTGATTCCATTGGCGAAGCCTCTTTGCTTGATTTCATGGTTTGGACGCCTGCGTCCATTGGCAAAATCCTCAGGTCAGTGGGACCGCCTCTGTTTTCCATTGGCCACGTCCATATGTCCATCACAAGATGAGATTTTTCCGGCCTTCCTAGAGGCTTTTGTCCTCACTTCCAACTTGAATGTCTATACTGGATCGTCCATGTGTCCGTCACTGACTTTTTCCACCATTCTTAAAAGCTTTTGTCCTCATGACCGACTCAGAAAAGCTGACTGACTGGCACAGCTGATATTTTTACCGGAATTTTCCCAGCATTCTTGAACTCAAAAAGCTGACTGGCTGGTATCACCAATATCCCATATTGGAATATCCACACTGGAACATCCACATGTCCGTTACAAAGCCAAGCCATGACCTTTTCCGGCATTCTAGAAAGTTTTTTTCCTGGTGGCCAACTTGAAAAGTTGACTGGCTTTGCTGATAATCCAGCTTGCTCCATGGTGAGGACTCCTCGGCCCTTTTGATTAGTGCAGTACACGCAGGTTCTTCCGGTTACTGTCCCAAAAGTAGTAATGCTGATAGAGCAGGAATGATGAGGAGCAGGTAACTCCACTTCATGCTACTGGGGGCAGCAGAGCTGTAGGCTTGACTCCGCATGAACACTGCGTTAGTGTGATTAGTTGGCACCTCCACGTTACAAGCCATGCCCTCACAGCACGATACACACTCCTGAAAGAGAACAAAAGATGAAAATTACAATGCTTTTAAGAGGCAGCAGTGATGAAGATCATTACAATACTGAGGGTATCAGTGGAGAAACTGTTCTCTGCTCTTTATGAAACAATTCAATATATTATAATCTTAAATTTCACCACGATGTGATTTGAATTTTCGTGAAACATCAGTGCGATTTTAGAGGCTATTCCACTAGAAATTACGTTTGTGGATAGTGATTTTTTTCTTTACTGTATTTGGGATGTTAGCTGTAAGAAAGTAATAAGAGCATCTATGAATAATAAACATATAATAAATATCTGTAGGCAGGGCTGTTCGATTCCAGAAATTCTGGAGTCAACTCCAATTCTAATTGGCAGGAACTAATGTTGATTATACACAATTTTCTTGATTTCTTGAAATAAAGACATGAGCCCCTTTTACAAATGTACTTTTGTGTGGGATTTTAACTGTAATTAAATAGGTAGCCAGAGTCAAAATAAGGTAAGACTGACACAACAGTTTACCTACAGAAGACCAAAAACAAAAAGGCCATTACCAGGAAAACAACAACGTCTTGATTACAGTCAACAAAGTGGAAAAACACAGCGTGTTGAGTTTTCAATAATGAAAAACCAGAGTTTCTATTCTATTCTAACGATTCTATTGGCATGCAGCTTGAGAGAAGCAGCCCATTGATCATGTGTGACTGCTACTGCCAGTGCCGGCTCTATCTAATAAGCGACATAAGCAGCTGCTCATGGCCCCGCGTCCACCATGGAACCCCTTAACAACTTCCGGGTTCTTACAGCAACATTATGCTGCCCAAGATGCTCGAGTGAGGGGGAAATATAAACATGTTAAGTCTCAAAAATGAACGTAGTTCTGGAGCTGAAAAATGGGGAAGAAAAAAGATCAAAGGTACGCGTTTTTTGTAGTGTTAACATTACGTCATTTGTTTTGACTTGTAGACAACAAGTAGAAGATGATCTGGGATCTTTCTAATGAAGCAGGTTTGTTAACCCAATAAACACAGCCGCGGGAAACTCGTTTCACAGTAAAGGTTAATGACTATCTTTGTTAATCCATATTTAGATACTCAGACTGGTGCATTCACATGAAAGCGAAATGTACATGGTGAACAGCATGTAAAACATAAGGAGGAGTTGCAGAAGAAGCAATAAGGAATCATAATGCCTAAATATGTGGATGGTAATGATAAAAAAGAAATGCTGACTTACGCCGTGTAAACATTCATTCATCAGCAATACATAAAATAAATGTACATAATTTACACAGCTTGTAGTAGTAACTGGTATTAGTTAGCCTTTCATTTTATAGTACACCAGCTAGCAAGATGAGGGGGCCCCCCAAAAAAATCTTGCTTAGGTTCCCCAAATGTCTAGAACTGGCCCTGGCAAAAATATGCAGCATAACCAGCCAAGCAGAACGTTTCTATGGGACTTGTTTTTAGCATAGATATACAAATTATTGATTGTAAACCACTTTTTAATATAAATTTTACATTTTACTAGATTTTTCCACCTTAAAATATACACAATCTACTAATATGAATATTGTAGGAGGATGCATTTTTTTAGACAGTCTGTCTCGACAGCACTGACAGCAGAATATCTCACACTCTGAGGAGAGAAAACTGGAATGCCACTGTGTGAAATCAAGTCCCAAATGCCTGGAATCGGAGAATTGCCTCTTCTTGGGATCGACTCCCAGCCATAACTGCAGAACAACTGTAAACTGCGTGTGCGTGTGTATGCACTCACTGTGTGGTGTGTGTTTCCGTGATGTCGGCAGCCTGCTGAGTTGCAGTCCTCCCATGTGGCGCACCTTTTAGTCACAAACTTGGTTTTCCCATGACGACTGAAGTGATGTACAGTCATACAGAACTGCGTGTCTGTGGGCAGCAAAGGCACAGAAAGAAAGCAACAGTGTTTAAACATACTATGCAAAAGTTTGAACACGTTTTGTTGATGTTCTAGGTGAAAATACGGTGAAGGTGCAGTGTGAAAGATTTACAAGGATCTAATAACAGAAACGGAATATAGCATAAGCATAAGCCACCATCTTTTCATTAGCGTGCAAACACCTGTGTTAGTCCAGAATGAGCCCTTCATGCCTACATAGGGGTGGGTCCTCTTCCAACTGAGGCTACCAGGTTGCGCCTCCATGTTTCCACAGTAGCACAGAATGGACAAATCACTCTCTAGAGAGTGTCTTCCACAATCAGTGTGAATCCTCATAGTCAAAGAAGCAAAAACCTGACGGCCACCATAGGTTCTACTACACACTTGAAAAGGGAGGGGTAAGGGGGGGGTACTCAGTTGGTTGCAATCTGCAACCGCCCTGCTAGATGCCACTAAACCTTACACACTGCACTATTAACACATCCTCTACAAAGAACACACTTAAAAATGACAATTGTAAGTGCACAGTTCCTAATGGATCACCTGCAAAGGAACACTTCATGAGTGTGACATAACCCAAATAATAGTGATGTCCTGTTCTGATCCAATGGACTGGGATCGGTCATGATACTGACACATTTTAACAGACTGGGTATAGGCTATTTTAAGCCCAATCCACTTTTTTATGCTCTATTAACGCCACTTTTACAGAGGCACCATAAACAAACATTAACCATAATCTGTGGCAGTAAGGCATGTTTTCAGAGGCCACCAAAGCACTTTAAATGTCTACAATGTGGAACTATATTAATAAGGAAAATGAGATCTTGTGTTATCTGCAGTGCCAGTGTTGCGATTGTGTGTAAGCCAGTCAACTTTTATCAAAATAAGGGCATGTACAATAAGAGTGCGCAGCTACATTCTTCCAGTCTATTTTTTGCCACTTACCACTAGCAGCATGCCACCAGAAGCATGAACAAAAAACATTCGCAAGTCGCAACAGGTTAAAAACAAAACTATCTCAGGAAATGTTCTGCTTTACAGGCAATCAAAAAGCTAAAAGAAAAGGAGCTGGCTACTGCGAGCAATATGAAATCTTTCTGTATTAACAACACTATGAAGTGGGTGCTTCAGTTTCTTTCAGTCCAAAAAGAATCCCCCAAAAACATCAGTTCAGAATGTATACAACTGATTTTACTTAATTATTTTAAAGTGACTGGTCTCTTAATCAGTAGGGTAATCAAATTGGGTCACAAGTCAATATTTAATACACTTTAGAAAAGTAAGCCTAAAACAAAACATTAGTCCAGAATACACTCGTGAGTTGCAACAGGTTAAAAACAAAACAGCCTCAAAATGTCATTGATCAGTAGCTTAGCATATCTTACCTAAATTGTATGGTTGTATTATCTACGAAAAGACAGAAATTTGATTGGTATAAACCGACACTAATCACTAAGGTACCTAGATTGGATTGGGGCGGTAAAAACACTGGATTAAGACATCCCACCATCCCAGAAAAATCTGAACAGTCCAAACAGTTCAATCTTATGGTTCGGTTTTGTTAAATGTTCGTTTCAATGAATCAAACATGCTGAATGAACCCTGAACGATCCATTGATTTACTAACGTAAAATCAACTTTATCCTCATTTTTTCCTCTTTCATTTGATTCAGCCATTGAGTCTGAAGTTCACTACTTCTACTAACTAATGGAGTCAGACTGTACAAATTTATCACGTGCGATTGAATTAAAACTGATTCTTCTAAACATTTTTATTCAAATGTAATTAGAATAACATGGATGGAAACAGTAAATGCTACAAAATCAGTTTGAATCAGTTTGATTTGTTGTAAAGAACGATTCATAAGCATGATTGGTCTGGACAGCATTACATGCAGAACTTGTGAACGCACCACATTAATGAACATTTTGTGAGCACAGTGTGTGGAATGTGTGTGGGAGGACACTTGGAAGAAGACATGGTCACTTACTCTGCGGACACCACTTGTCTTCAGCCCAGCGATTACAGTTGTAGTTGTCCAAGGCCTGCTCACATGTGAAGCACTTGAAGCTCTTGGGGTATGGAGTTGCTGCACAGACATGATGTCTAGGTTACAGATATGAACAGAGTACAGCGGAAAGCTAGAAACAGAGCTACACCGCTCAGATTACACTGGACTGTGAAGTCACACTTCGGTATAAAACAACACAAAAACAAAAACATTTTAAAGGAATTACTTCTAACTCGTAGCTCATTGCAATAATTACGGAAATTCTGCTGTACTGAAAGTGCAGATAAGTAGGAGATATTTTGTCATGATTTTGTCATGAGTTATTTGCTATTATTGTTTTGTGTCTTGTTTTGCCGACAGAATGTAAATTGAAAATAAATGTAATACATTTCGTAAGTAACTACATCATTTATTATGTAAATTATGTGACAATAATTATGTTAGATCTTTACTAGGGCTGTCCCAATTAACAATCAATAATGCGTTAACAAGACAAACGATTAATTCAGTAAAATGTTTTTAATGCCGTTAACGCATTTTCCTAGATTCTTTGAATCACCTGTAGTAGTCCAGGCTGAAGTCCAGCTGTATTTTACTGTGATAAAATCTGCAATTGTAGTCCTCTTGTTTAAACTGAAGTTTTAAAGCGATTCTTACAGCACGCTATGCTGGACAGCAGGTGATTATAGTGTTAAAGTTCATGTAAAGCCTAAACAATGTTTCTGAATTACTGAAAATAACGTACACATTCCGATGAAGTGTACTTTTCCACATGTATAGCTATAACAAAATGTTTTTTAAATGAAAAAAATCTCTGTTCAGGATCAAATTTAAACAAATTGGACAAATGCAATTAATAACATTTAACTACACAATATAATGTGATTAATCACAATCAAAATATATTAATTTTGTTTGACAGCCCTACAAATGAATGTAAAGTGAACATTAATGACAATAATTCTGGACTTCCAGAGGTTAGTGTTCATGCTTCAGTTAAATAAGTAAGTTACTAATTAAGATATAATATTTTAATAGTATAGCAAAACATCAATATTATCTTAAGACTTATATGGTTTAGTTTCCCACTGCTGTGCTATTGAAGCTCCATGGACAGAACTGCTGTATGGTTATGTGAGCTAAAATGAAATCCACTCACCATCCACAGGAGGCCTGATATTGTAGAAGTTGATGCTGTCACATCTCACAACGGACAAAAGGAACTCGGAAGCAATGACGATGTACACAGCTGTGGGGACGGCCATCCTCGAGGAACACCTGTAATGAAGAAATAAGGTCAATAAAACAGTCTCTTGTCCGTTGACAGTTTAATGCTTTTCAAATCGTGACAAAATTGCAAACATAAAAAAGGCAGAACACAGAAAATTAAACAGAAGCTTTAAAAACTAAATATATATTTTTTACAGCTTATTGTTCCAAACAAAGTTCAGTCTTAGAAGTTGGTTTAGCATTTACTGTTTCTCATGATTTGAGTAATCCCAAACACATTCAGTGATGTTGAGGTCTGGACTCTGGGGTGGTCAGTCCATTGTTCTGAGAACACCAGCAGCTTCTTTGTTTGATGTATCCGTCTCCTTTTCTCAGTAAGAGCTTCTTGAACAGCTACGTATCCTTTCAGACCCATAGTGCTGAGTCGTCTTCTCACAGTGGAAGGATGGACAGAAACACCTGTGGATGTTTTCAGATCTGAAGCAGCTTGATTTTCTCTTCTCTGTGCTGTTTATCTGAAGGGGACAGTTTTGTGGTCTACCAGGTCTTCCAGGTGGGAGTTAGGAGTCCCATTTGCTCTGTAGCTAACATAGTTTTGGAAACTATTTTTTCCACTTATTTTCCTTTTACTTTATCATATCTTATATATAATCTCGTCAGACGTGTGATTGGGTGCTTATGCCTGTCAACTACCATTTTGCAAACCACATGTGCAGACCATCAGACAGCCTCAAACTGGACTGAGATGTTGAGTAATCTCAGATTTGCTAATGTGGTTTCTGACACTGTATGACACAATAAGAGTGCATTTACATGAACGCAGTAATCAGAAATCTGATAAACAGAGCTGGATTTTAACTCTGTAATCATATTTCTCAGGGCATGTGGACTCTTACTCTGATTTCTTTCGGATTTCTCATTCTGCGCATGTGTGAAAACAGCAGCAAACCACTTTAGGGGCAACACTGAAACTATGTTCTTGATGAAATTAAGGATTTAAATATTCTTCATCTATTAGATGATGTATGTTCATATTTTCAGGTAAAGTGGCGCAATGTTTTTTTTTAAAAAAAGCCGCGGCATGAAGTTTGAGTTTTACATTATGGTTACGTCATATCTTCTTCTGTGAGTTTACTGACGGTTGCAAAGCAGAAATCTGATTACAGTCTAACTCATGTAGACCTGGAGTTTTCCCATTATCTGATTACTCAAGTGCATGTAAACGCATTGATCAGATTACTGACAAAATCTGATTTTCTGCAGTTATTGGATTATTAAGTGCATGTAAACAGACTCACTGTTCTTACACAAATAAGGACACCATGAGCTGGGTGTAGCGAAAAAACAGAAGTAGCAGCATCTTAAAGGTAGATTTTTCCCTTTAAGCTTTATTTGTTAGCTACATTAGCCTTGCAGCTCAAAACTAAAGTACAAATTTCAGACACTAAATGCATCTTGGCTGTAAATCTGCATTGAGGGCAAAACTTTAAACGTGATTTTTCTCTAAACCACTGCTATAAAGGTAAAAGGCTTTTAGTGAATAAACTGGGCATCATGCATCACTTTAGGACAAGCAATATGACTTTTTTAAGCAATGACTAATAGACCTTTAGCTGAATTCAGGCAACTGAGGTTAGACTAGAGGTGATTTAATGGGTTCAGGTCAAGCTAGTGCAAAAGGTCCCCACAAAAGCACTTAAGACCAATAAAAGACAGACACCAGATGTCAAACAGCATAAATAAACCTTCTCCTGACCCACACATCACAGAGATCCCTTCAGGCAGGGGATGGCCAAGCATGTACCCGATGCCATGTCTAATTTAGGCTTTTGAAAACAACAGTTAACAGCACACTAGCTTGAGCTGACAACTCAGATAAGCTACAATATGTACACGATATGTAAGGTTTGGAAGGAATGTTAATTTTGTTAAAATGTAAAAAAAAAAAACTGGTTGAAGAAAAAAAATATATATTACAGCAGGTGATTGCAAAAAATTAAAAACTGGGCCAGTGTAAGAGAAATTACACAGAAATTCAATTCATATTCAAATTCACAATTCAATGAAAACAAATAAATTCAGCGTAGTTCACCAACTTTACAGTTTTACAGTTAACTGACTTCTTTACAGTGGTGGTGATAGGAACCAAGGGTCTCCATGACTACAACACAAATATAACCATTTTATTTACCATCCAAACCACCAGTGAACCTACATGTCTTCTGAGCTTTTGTATGCAATGTTAATAATAAAAGAGTCATAAATCTGAAAAATAAGGGAACACCTTGAATGTGCCTCCACCATGAATGTTTAAGGCCAAAACTCCTCAAAACAACTGTATAATAACTTTTTGTGAGAGAGCTTTTAGAGGTGGACATCTGGTTCCTATCACCACCACTGGGAACAATTCTGACCATAAGTTTCTCTAGAATGGCGAATTTCACACCAAACCAATCTGAAAGACTTTATTTACATCTCAGTAATTTAATTATGCAGAAATGTTTGTGTTTCTAAGTTTTACTGGCACTTGCAGTCCATGCGATCTAGTCCTTAACGGGACTAATAAGAGACTAACATAGTAAATATGTATGAAGTAAATATCCTTCCTCCAGTCACAAAATAAAACCAAAAGTGCTCACTGCAGACAAATTTAAGACACATGGACATGCCAGATGTAAGCAGCTAAATGTCTCCCTGTCCACTTATGATCAGATCACTCAAGATAAATACTAAGCATGAACATTTGAGCGTGGATGTTCTTTGGTTACGCTAGATGTCTAAGCTAGATATGCATAAACAAACTACAGGGCAAAAAAAGAACATGAATTTGATTGATCACAGGGATGTGGACTGTCTGGTATCTACTGTACACTAAACTGGCCACTGTCGAGATGTTGCCTGAACTATCTCACCGTTTTAGGCCTTATTACCCACCACTAACATCACCCATCATTCCTGTATCTCACTCAAGCATCTCATCTATGCCTCTGACGTCCATCCGTAGCCAATCAATGCCCCATTCTGGCAACAGATCCACAGCCCTGGTCATGTTTCCTTATTATGAGCACAGTTGCTATGAATGACGTCACTGATTTTTGTTTGATAAAACTAAGTTTGGTGGGAAAATAACAGTAAAACAGACCCGATAACGTATCGCTGAAATATCTTTCAAGATTTCTAATTGCACCATGTTCAAATAAAAGAACTGCCACCTGTATCAGCCTTTTAAGACCATGTGTTTGCTCAGGGTGTCCCCTTAAAAAGAACTAATGCTATATGAGGTCATGAGAACCTGCACAAGAAAGAACTCTCTATTAAAGAACTTAAAAGCCTTGAAGCCTATCAGAAGCCCTGATAACATTATAAGAGAGTAAGCAATACAGTGAACTAACATGCACTACAGTTTTATTTTACTTTATTAAGTACTATATTACATAAAACATTAAATGTGACCTGTGTGAAGTTATGTATTTATGTTTTCTTTTTTTTCCAGTATGTTACACTCAGCAAAATGCTATATTTAAGCTTCTTCTCTGTAAAGGATGTGTTAAAATCAACAAACCATGTCATTTGACCAGGGGTATTCAAACTTTTATATATGCCTGTATTAGTGAAACAAACAATAAAATAAACAAATAAAAGTAAACATGGCTCTGGGTAATGGTATCAGGCCAACATGAGCAGAAAATGCTGGCTCAGATATGAAAATGAATCCCATCTCGTATCTCTCATGTAACAATTCCAGCTTGAAATAGCACAGAATCGTTCGTAGTGCATGGCATAAGATCAACAACAATAATGTCATGAGACCTCAGTAAGGTGTGGGGTAGTACAGTGTTAGAGTAGTTTCATCACAGCATATACACATATTATGGAAAGGAATCCGTGCCAGATTGAAAAGAGATCACTACAGTGGAAAAACGTGAAATGCAATGCATGATATAACTTTTCCATAGTTTCATGCAGCATATGTGCCAAAATGAAAAACAAACCTCTACTACATTGTTTTCATGTCGCTTGACCTCTTTACTGAAAAACAGTACATGAGGATTTGCATTTAGAAAATGAAATGCTGAATTCATGTCAGAAAATGCTTAAAAAGGCATAATTATACTGCTTTCCACTGTGCAACATTAAATCAATGTAATAGATTTTTCACTTTTTATGTTGGCACATTTTCTGCATGTTATTGTTTAAATGCAGTCTCATCTAATCTCACTCAATGTCACCATTTTGGTTGCACTTCAATGAAACAAATACATTTGAAGAAATCAATCGAAGTGAAAACATCGCAAAAGAGGTTTTGCTTTTCATTTTTGACGTGTTCTGCATGAAACTATGAAAAAGTAATGTCATGTGCACAATGCATTTCCCATTTTTCCACAGTGAAAACGGGACTCCTAACAGCCACCTGCTAGACCACCAAAACTGCCCGCATCAGATAAAACAGCACTTAAACCTTTCATCTTTGAGAGAGAGGAGAAAATCAAGCTGCTTCAGATCTGAAAACATCCACAGGTGTTTCTGTCCATCCTTCCACTGTGAGAAGACGACTCAGCACTATGGGTCTGAAAGGATGTGTAGCTGTTCAAGAAGCTCTTACTGAGAAAAGGAAACAGACTCATCAAACAAAGAAGCTGCTGGTGTTCTCAGAACAATGGACTGACCACCCCAGAGTCCAGACCTCAACATCACTGAATGTGTTTAGCATTACTTGGATTGTGAGAAGAAAATGTAAAACCAACTTCTAAGACGGAACTTTGGGGGTGTGGCTGTAGATTTCTTTGAAAAACTAAAAAGAATGGAAGCTAAAAAAAAAAAAAAATCTCCAACTTTTACACAGGACTGTACATATTATACACAATATTTCATTTTAAAACTTAGTAGTTCTGAACAAAAATACTGGACCAATACAAAAGGTTTCAGTATTGGTAACAGACAAGGAAAAAAGTGGTACTGGGCTATCTATAAATAAAAGTGGTCCCATATGCATAGTTTTGCACAAAAAGACCAGATTTCTATTTGATGTCTTAAGTTACTGTGAATCA